ATTTGACATTGCAAAAGATCGTTGGATTATTCAGCTAGCCACATCTAATTACGGTGCTGATTTAACACAAGTATTTATTGAATATCAAAATGAAGAATCGTCGTCTACATTATCAACTGGAATTTTACTTGGATGTTTGTTTACTTGCTGATATGGGAGAGTATCAAAAAGCAATTGAATACTTTGAAAAGTTTTTCTATAATGAAAATGTTGATCATATACAAGTGTATATTAATATTAAGTCATCGAGAGAAAAAAAGTAGACATTCGTTGTTAGATTCCGAAGAGAAAATCAACTGGAACTCAAATCAGCTAACTACGCATCTTTCTATTAGTTATAGAAAAAAATCGTTTATTTTTGAGCTTTTAACAACACGTTGTACTAGACCAACTGATCCAGGTGATGGTGCACCTAAATCATCAAATATTGTAATTAAATTATTTTTCGGCCTTAGCCAATCAGGTGGAATATGATAATAACGTTGAGTCGGTTTTAAACAATTAGTTTGAGCATGCTGACAACAACACGGCTGGTTATTTTCACAAATACCTTGAATTAACCAATAAAGACCAAGATCATTTCCATTAATAAATGCATGACCACGATTAAGACCTAGAGCATCAAGTAAAATCGGATTAGCATTTTTATCTTCTCGTATAAGATGATCCAAATCAAATCGTGCTTGAAACCATGTTATTGGTTGATTAATACCTTTTGTCCATTGGGTATCCCAATCAACTTTAGATGAACCTTGTTCAGTATAAATTTGAAGATATTCACCAATTAAACCTTTTTGATGGTTCCAAAAATTTGTTTCGGTTGTATTATCTAATAATAATTGTCCGTCAAGCCATACATTACCATCAATGCCTTTCTGTTCAAAAGTATTTGCATACACACCACTGAAAAGTCCAAATGAAATCGAAAGAATTTCAAATAAATATTGTTGATTTGAATTGAAATGTGACAGATCCAATACAATAAAAGCTTCTGCACTACCTGCTTGATGATTATGATCATCAAATTCACCTAAATATTGTCCATTCAAAAAGAAAAGTAAGGCATTAGCTATACGTGTTTGAACTCTCAATATTGTATCTGCTGATGCCTGTTTTAATGTCACATTACGACGATACCACAAATAAATAGTTTCATCATTCGTGATATTCAGTTGTCCAATAGGATTTGGAGAACTGATTACTGATAAATTCGATTTAACTGACGATTCTGACCATGTTTGCCAATCAAGTGGACCGACAACAACAGGAACTAGTTCAGTAGTATTACTGGCAATATCACTATAATCAGCACTATACCATAATAAAGTCATATTATCATCATATATTCGAACAGAGTGATCATTCATTGAAATATTTTGATTACGAAAAAGTACAAAGAGTGGTGAAGTAGCTTGACTAATAACAAAATGAGTGGAAGGTGGATATGAATAAACAAATTGCGAAGTACCATTTGCCCATGCTTTTCCATTCCAATAAGGTATTGTAGTACGAATAGAATCTTGACTTAATAAAACTTCGGCACGATCAGCAATTATATGTTGAAGACGACTTAATTGAGTATATTTAGGTTCATTTGGTGTACCATCAGCATGAAGACATACATCATCAGCGTACAATGTTGTCACACCAGAAGCTGCAATTCGTCCATAATTATTTCCACCATGCCACATATAATAAGCATGATAAGCACCACCACCGGCAAACCATTCAGCAACTGAATAAGCTACATCAGATGTTTTGCGAATAGAAATAGGTTGTCCCCATTGTTGAAACCATCCTTCATTTTCAGTGAACATCAATGGTTTATCTGGATACATTTGACGGTGTTGATCAATCCAACCATCATCCAAACAATTACATGAATTACATGTTTCAATTGTTGAATTAGCGGATAAACCATTGCACATAATCCATGGAATTTCTGTTGATGAAAGTTCATTGTTTACTAAAGTACCACACCAATCAACATAAGCGCGATCATCACCAGCATATTCATTTTCAATTTGTGCAACAATAATTGGGCCACCATTCTTAGCAAGATAAGGTGTTACATAATCAACAATATTCAAAATAAATTGACGCATTAAACGTTTCCATGCATCATTACTGGAACGAAATGATATATTAGGTACTTGATTAAGCCATACTGGTAATCCACCATAAGTCCATTCAGCAGATACATAAGGGCCTATACGTAAATTAACAAATAGACCAGCATTGGCAGCTTCTTGAAGAAAGGCACTTAAATTAGCTCGACCAGTGAAATCCAGTATACCTTGTTTTTGTTCATGAAGATTCCAAAATACATATGTTTGAACTGTATTAAGACCTTGATTTTTAGCCATTTTCATTATATATGGCCACATAGCTGGTGTTGAACGAGGATAATGTATGGCACCCGATATAAGCATTGTTCGTACACCATTAATTGTAATTGCTCGATGATCATAACCGACTGTGTATGGTGTACCTCTGACATCATCATAAGTAATCGGACTTGTTGCTACACAGGTTAAGATACCAACGCAGATATAAGTTACCGGTAATAGTCGCATTATTATCTTTGAAGGTGCGGTTGAAAATTGCCTACAATATAAATAGGTGTTAAATTTCATGTTTATCTTCTTCACCTTTTTTCTGTTGTTAATGTAGATGAAAAAATAAAATAGACATGATAAACATTCTCAACATGTAACTAACTGACTGTGGACTTGTTTTGAAAGGGGAGAAACCTAAATGAGAAACGTATCCGTAAGAGAGGTGGTCAACAGAATAAGATGTAATAGGGAAATTAGAATTAATGTTTTTCCTATCATTTATTTTCTTTTTCGTTTACACGAAAGACTTTCAGGCATTTTTTTAAAATCTTAACACAAGGGTTATCCAATTCTTTGATTATGTTTGTTACAAGTCTGTTTAATTATAAAAAACTAAAAGATCTTTAAAAAATATTTTGCAATTTTCATTCAATGAAACATTTCATCAATATAAATCTATGTAGATATTCATATGATTATTCTGTTGTATATTGCTTTAATCAACATAATCTTTGACTACACAAGAAAACTTCGTATGTTATAGAATGACTTTAGGAATGAAACTTGATATAGTTTATCGTTGTCGATTATATCTCTACTCCGAATAAATTCTTAGTTAAATCATAGTGATAGTCTAATTGTTCTTGAGGGTGAGTAAAGAACAACAGCTACCACGACGCGTTTTTTTCACAAGACGCTAGATTTTGAACAAAAGTTTATTTCAAAGGAAAAAGAGTTTTAATATAAATAATGCTAGAGGGAAGGTAAAAGCAGAAATCTATGAGTTAATCTGATCATGGCAGAGACATTCATATTACGCTATTTGTCATTTAGCAGTCACTGTGCTGTTGGTCGTGCTTATATTGTTTAATATTTCTTGACGAGGAGCTGATGTAAAGACTTGTTGCTTCGTATTTCTATCTGCAGTCGACCAGTATTCATACAAGAACCGTTGTATATGTAGTACTTTTCCCATAACCCACGTAGTTCCCGTTTGAATTCCAACATGGGACCACTCTCGAAAGTAAAATGAACTATAATTTCCTGCTTGTTCGCTTGTTGTCTGTCTGACGTTGTTCTTTGTCCTGTTTTTTCTCTCGTCTGTTTCGAGTTTCTCAATTTCCAGTTTTTCGTCTCTGGTTTAGAAAACATGAATAATTCTCAGCAACGAAACAAAATTTAAAAAGAATCTCCCCATACATTTAAAGCTGGTGTGTTGGTCGATGTGACGGTGTGTGAATGATCGCTATAGTCCTTCATCCCAAAGAACCAGGTAGATTTACAAAATGAGTCATACCCACTTCGACTTTTTCCTTCAGTTTGTTGGAAAAACCTGATTTTTCCACAGAAAAAAGCGTATTGAAGGAGGAAAAGGTTTTTCTATACTTAACCTTGACTGAAAAAGTGATCGGAAATAGTCTGACCACTAAGATCGACTAATTCGAATGTTTGCGTCTTTCTTGTCTGCTTCATCCAGTAGAATAGTGATTTGATCGGGTGACTGAAATGCTCGTCATGAATACATCGTCGATATAGCTATTGTTTGGAGCAATAAAAATATAACGAAAACACTAGATACAAATAGCACTGACATACCGGCCATAGAGTTCATTGTGTGAACTCTGATGTTCGACTAATGGTCGATTACTTGCTCAACCAATCAGATGGGAGAAAAAACAGGACAAAGAACAATGTCGCTGCAACAATCTTCACTGCATAACCTAAAGAGATTCTGATATCGATCTTCATATAACGATTTAATGTCTTGAATCGTTATATTATTAGCCATTTTTCCTCAAATTACACATTGCATCTTTGCAGAAAACTGCAAAGGTAAACTGGATACTTTTGCTTATATCCGACAGTAAAATGAAGCTGAGTCTTGCAGCATTTCTCAACAGTCTGTTCAGTCTTGACAATATGGAAGCAAATATCCTGCTAGTGTGCTAGGTTCTGAAAAGACAATAGAGCCATATAAAAGATGTGAGAATGTACTTTCGTCGTCATTAGAATTAATAGGCCTGTAGCAACAGATGTAAATGTTAAAACTTTGGTCAAAAACGAGACATTTTACTATATAACTACTATGTCAAAATTGTTCTTTAGCGCACAGAATATACACAGAAGGAAAAGAAAAAAAAGCAAAAAGACCGCGTGCGTCCGTTGTGTATCATCCTTTTCTGTTCTGGCGCAGCTGATACAACAAACATTTTAAATGTAAAATGTCTCCTTTTTGACCAAAGTTTTAACATTTACATTTGTTGCTACAAGCCTAATATAATTTAAACGAAATTATTAAATGTCTGAGTTGTCATAATGTTACTATTAATGAATTTAGATCAGTGCCATCAAGGTCAGGATTAGATTATTCAATTTCTGAATCAGAGAAATAAATTAGAATATGATTTGTTTTAAAACAAATCTGTTTACGTGTTTAAAACAGATAAAAATTTTATATGGGTCTATTGTCTTTTTATATAAATTTAATAAAAGTAAATTTTATTGTTTCTACAGAACGAAAAAACTGAAAAACTTCATTTTGAAACTTTCTGCCTGCCTTCAAACCACACTTAGGTAAACACCGTTTCTCTGGATGCTCAACCCGGATATCTTGGCTTCAATCTTTGCGAGGAAAAGTATATAGTTTTCGTATGTCTCACATTAAATTCGGCGCCGAATCCCTCCTTCTCCGATTCTTGCTAAACTTGGTTATTGTTGTGCCTTGTATGAGAGTTGCTTTTCTTTTCCACTTCTTGATTCTGATAGAGTAAAGCCACTATAACTTATTGTTGCCCACAACTGGTATTCTGCGGTATTTCGCTGTCATTCCATGCAGCTCACAGAGATCTAGAAGATTATGTAAGGTTCGTCACTGACGCAGGTACTTTCGTATATTGTAGTAGGTTTCATTTGGATTTAGTCACTAGTAACATATTTCTATTGGGTCTATCGTATTGTGAATCCTCCGTTCATAACAGTAACGGCCACATATGTCTACTGTTACTACTATTTAATGGTGATGATGATAGTGGTAGTTTCCATGCAGTTTTAATTTGATTTTTACTATCTTCAGACAATGGATTTGCCTGAAGATCTAAGTGTTGTAAATTAACTTACTATTTAATATAATTTTTAAAATATCATTTAAACTTTTCACGCCATTGACAAGAAATTAAGGGAGAAAAGTCTTTGAGAAAATTTATAAAAAAGTTAAGGGATTTTTTACATTTACTACATTCTTGATAATGGTTTGGAGAAATAGAACGAAGTGGGAAGTGGTTTCAGAGACATCAAAACTCTTTTTTTATTATTTTTCGGACCCAGAATGGGTTGACCGTAGTGATTTCTAATTGCTCAGCACAGCCAAAATGGCTGGAATGAACTGAACAACTTCGTCTCAACGAAGAATTTTGAGCAAACAAATTACAAATTACTTCATTTTGTAAAGAATTCTTTGCTCTATTTCTCATATGCCCTACTTTGCACATCATTCGGACTTGAAGTGAATTCATTAATGAGAAATTATGAAGATTAAAAGAGATGGTAATTTTTTCTATATATATATATATATATATGCTTTGGCATAATTATGATCAATCCAAATTCCACGAAATAAACAGAATTTAGTGTGCGCCGGGCTGCAGTAGCCGGCTTTTAGTCTAGTTCAAGTGAAAAATGTCTTCTGAATATTATAATTAATTACATATGTAAAAAGCGGAAGAAAAACGCGTGCTTTTAACGAGTACTGTGCATAGCATGAACATCGTTATTATAAATACATTTCTGTCCTCTGGAAACCCACTAGAAATTCTCATAAAGCATTGGTTGATTTTGAGCATGGCAGTCTTATAAGTCTATTATTTTAAGCACTTATACTCTAAATCGATTAGTTTTATAAACTGTCCTGTTTCAGAAACAGAACTTTTAACAGTTTGTCTCTAATTTCTTAATCGCAGACGAATAAGACAAATTGTGTCTACTTTACAGCGTTATGAACATAGAAGAAGGTGCAGTTCCACTTACAATTAAATTTTCTTTTCTAAAAGACATTGTGAATGAAGGTGAAAATGAATTAAACCTTCACTTATATGGTATTAATATTCATTACACTTCATTCATCGTTAATCATCCCTTATTCATTCCCATTTTCAAGAACAATAGATCGTAAGTAAACTTTATTTTTATGCATGTTCGCTATTCCATATAAATATCTGAAACTCAAAGAATAACCTTCATATTTTAATGTATGCTATATCTTATGATGCGTGGAGTTGTAATGGAAGGCTTCGGTTTTAAATAAAATTAGAACAAAATGATTGTTTCCTATACATGATTAATTTACTTTTGTAATGAAATGTATTATATTGTCCGATGTATGTAATGTAGTTATATTGTCCGATAAAAATGTAGGTGTATGTTGGAATACAAATAACACAAAAATAAATTAATCATGTATAGGGAACAATCATTTTGTTCTAATTTTATTTAAAACCGAAGCCTTCCATTAAAACTCCACGCATCATAAGATATAGCATACATTAAAATATGTAGGTTATTCTTTGAGTTTCAGATATTTATATGGAGTAGCGAACATGCGTAAAAATAAAGTTTACTTACGATCTATTGTTCTTGAAAATGGGAATGAATAAGGGATGATTAATGATGAATGAAGTGTAATGAACATTAATACCATATAAGTGAAGGTTTAATTCATTTTCACCTTCATTCACAATGTCTTTTAGAAAGGAAAATTTAATTGTAAGTGGAACTGCACCTTCTTCTATGTTCATAACGCTGTAAAGTACACACAATTTGTCTTATTCGTCTGTGATTAAGAAATTAGAGACAAACTGTTAAAAGTTCTGTTTCTGAAACAGGACAGTTTATAAAACTAATCGATTTAGAGTGTAAGTGCTTAAAACAATAGACTTATAAGATTGCATTGCGCAGATTATACTCAGCTGGAAACATCATGAACAATGTCGAAGCAAGTAAAATTTGTCCATGAATCTCCTCCC